GGGCAGAATGTTGCAAAACCTAAGTCTAGCCCTAAGAAAAAGACCTCCAAATCTGATGGGGATGCGGACAAGGACTAGGAGAAGCCTAGGAAGGCTCACTCTAAGCGCGGTTGTTCTCTGGATGGTCATAGAAGCAAGAAAGCTTCTAAATGTCGCAACTCTTCGGATAGAGAAAAATCTAAGGATTCCTCCTCAAAAAAGTCCCGTCCATCAGGGGCTGAAACTTTGAAACCCAAGGATCCTGCTCCATTGGGTTCCCAGCCTTCTTCACTTCTGATCCCAAGGCCTTCCTCACCTCCAAGGGCAGGACCTTTATCTTCGGTACCGAGATCCTTCCATCCCAAGGCGTGGCCACGGTACTGATGGCTCTGCAACAGGAGTCTCGGGGGCAATTCACTGGGATCATGGCAGTTTGGGGGCTGAAGCGGATTACTCTGCCCAGGAGGAAGAGATGGACCCCATCCTTAAATCTCATCCGAACTTAGTCTACAATCCCATCTTGTGCCGATACCTGATGCCGGTGGACCCAGAGACTTTGCAATCTCACGGGACATCTCATCTTGTCCAGGCCCAAGTCCACAGGGCTGCGTCTTCTGAGCCACCAACTCCTCCACCTCGGTACCAGTCTCTCCAACCCGTTCTCCTACTCCTGAGTCTGACCATGGCTCATCCGTCCTTGTGGAACACCATCCTTCATCTCCGATGGATGCCATCAAGGCCTTCGCAGACCAGGTGGTTCGCATGGGCAACGCTCTGGAGATCAAAATCAGTAGAACAGACGATGACGCCCTGGATGCCATCGAGAGGAGGGTCCACGGGAAGGTCCCTACACTCCCAGCTCTGGGCTTTCTACCAACTTGGGCCACTCCATCTATGGTACCGTCGACTTCAAGGAAAATTGAGAATCTATACAGGATAGCCCCTTCCCAGGCTATTTGAACATCCAAAACCAAACTCAGCAATTGTGGAAAGCGCTCAGATCTTGTCGACCCCGAAGACCTCCACGTCCCTGGTGGATAGAGATGGCAAGAAGGTGGATGGTCTTGCTAAGAAGTTTTATGCGTCTGCGGTTTTGGATATGAAAATAGCCAATTATGCCGCATATGCTGCCTTTGCTTGATGACCTGTCCAAACATTTGATCAGGAGGGCTTTAAACTGAGTCATGTGTGGGAGGGAGACAGTATCTTGGAAGGCAGGAGTACATCATGGGCTGGAGATAATAGTCAAAGTGTTATAGAGGGAACAAGGCAAATGATGCAAGGGCCTAACAGTGGGAGGCAAAAAACCTCACACAGGCAGCAAGTGGGGAGGACACATGGTCTTAGATGTCTCTGCACCAATGAACAGAGCATGAGAAATAAACAAGATTAATTTGAACTCTTAGTACAATATAGCAAATATAATATAATAGCATCACTGAAACCTGGTGTGATGAATCTCATGATTGGCTTGTTCTCTGCTGCCACAGAGGGTAGAACTAGTGTTATGGGTTTCCTCCACTCCTACTCCTAAGTAGGAGATGGTAACCCTGAAGATCATATAGCCGAGTTGCTACCACTCATTGATTTTAACCCCTCTTTACTAGTAATTCAGTGGGAAGTTACACAGTGCACACAGACAATGAGCAAAAGCACATGAAGAACTATGGGAAGAAACAAGATTTTTAAAGGAAACTTTTATTCTAAGCAAGCAATCTATATAGCAAAAAGTAGAGTTTATATGAAGCCTCCTTCTTTCGGGCTTGATGTTACAAAGTTACAAGAGCCTAGGTCATATTTAGCTGAGGTTTTAAAAAGAACCATAATTTCTATAACACATCTAGCTAAGGCATTACTATCCTACTCACTACACAGATGTCCTGGGCCTTGGATGTCTATGGGAGAAACTGGGAATCTGAACCACATAGTCCAGCCAACAACCAGAACTTCCCCTAGATGCAGCAGACACCTTAGTCTCAAGTCTCTTTTTGTTCAGCTTTCTGCCTTGTAGTCCTCCTGGGGTTTTAATAACCTCTTCTGCAAAGCTTGGCACTGGTCATCTTCTCTGGCTACAGAGTCATGATCTTTGTGACTCCTCCATAAATGGCTTTGATCCCAATAAATGTACCTCATCCCAATTAACCTTTTAAAATTTTTAATGATTTTTATTAATAGCTTTGGAAACAATCAATATAATCAACACAAAATACATTCTAAGAGCCTTGGGGGTCAAGAAAAAGAGTTTTACAGGAAGATTATTTATCCTGGGATAGTGGTAATATTCAGAGTCCAGGGTGTCATCTCACTCTGTGGCAGCTGATGGGATTGAGTCCAGAATGTCTCTCCAAAAGATAGTCTGATGGGTTGGAGTCCAATATTGTTTCTGGATCAGGACTGGTTGTCTGTGCAGTCACTGTGATCCCCACTGATTGGGGGTGAGAGTCTCTGGCCACTCCTTTTGCCTCATCTTTGAGGCCCAGGTCATCCCTGACTAACTCTTTATCAGTCTGGATTTGTAACCTAGATTACGATGAATGGACATGCACAATCCTCCTTTTCAGATGTTCCCCATTTTCTTTTCAGTGGTGTCAATATGGCTGGCATCGTTTGGTGCATGTCACCCCTCCATTGAGCTCCTCCCATATGACACCATACAGAATACTTAGGGGCTTTGCAGACCGGGCTAAAGTGCTGGCCTGGGGGTGTAGTTGGGGTGGGGCCGCCCTGACTCCACCCTAACCCATCCTGATGCTGCGCGCCTATTCATGTGCAGTGTGACTCCCTTTAGGCGGGTCTGCAAAGCCCCTTAGTAATGTTTTTTGAACTAATGTTACTCATAAATCATAATTCCTGTATATCACTGAATGTAATGGCAATAATTCTGACATAAACAACTAGCAGAATTGAAATTATCCCTTTAAATTACAATATCATAACACAGCCTAAATGTATGTCAGCACCAGCCAACTTTATTCCCTGGATTCAGACAATCAGTCTTAGTATGATGAAACAACAAAAGACTTTTATTGCAGAACAGGGACAACAGTGACTAGCAAAGTGTTTAAATCTGTACTAATGATTAGCACCCTCCTGTCATTAAAGGGATGCAGACAAACACCAACAGCGCATTTCTGCCAAAAGGCAGATTATTGGAGAGCAGTGATGTCACCCCTGCCTAGGATGTCACCAGGTGTGACCTGCACCTCCCACACCACCTAGTGATGCCCCTGTTTTGATCTTTCATGGAATTGTATGTGATTGTGTTTTTACCAGTTCCTATGAGCTGAAAGTTGGCACTGGAGTTTGTGGAATATGGAGGGAGCTGTAAATCATTTCACCAATTACACAGAACTCTTGGCAGCAGCAATGGATGCTGTTAACAGAACAGAAACACCAACAACACTAACAACACTGTAGAAGAGAAAAGAAGGCCTAAAACCTATGATCTGAAGTTGAATGAAATTCTTGAATGTTCCAAGAATTTCCAGTATCAAGCTTTAGATTTCTGGAGAAGGTAATATGTGAATACTGTGTCAAAATAAGCTGTGTATTCACAAGGATAAACAACAAGTGGACTTATTTATAGGAGAATCACATTTTTATTTACTGATATTTAATTTGAGCAGTGTAAAACACATGCTTTGTTTGGTTTAAGGCAATTAGGTTAATTGCTTTTGATATATCTTAAATAAAAATAATTCCCTCAAAGAATTATGGTTAAGAGTGATATGTGACAATTACTTTCTGTTCTCTTCTTTCTTTCTCTGTAGCTATCTGCCGGTATCCACTGGGCATGTCAGGTGGGCATATCCCTGATGAGGACATTTCTGCTTCCAGCCAGTGGTCTGAATCCACAGCAGCCAAATATGGAAGGTAAGAGAGAGATGTAGATGGGGTGCCACACCAGGTCCAGAGGTATACTAATCCCCTCTTCCCTTTTCAAGCCCTCTAGGTACAATAACACATTAGTTGTCTTCCTTATCTTTGCCTTCGGTGAATTAGAACCCTCCAGCACCTTTCCTTTGGTAAAAATTTATAATATATTGGCCAAGAAAGTAATTGTTCACTGTCTATCCTCTAGTGGCATCAGAAGTTGACTGGTTGATGATGCATAAACTCATTCTGTGACCATCAGCTTTTAGAATCATGCCTGCCTGCTGTTGCTTGATAGATCCTATCTCCAACTTGGCCATGGCCTGAACTGAAAGATAATGAATCAGTGAATCCCCTCTGCTGCTCTAAGGGACTTTGGAACCAATCCTCATTTCACTTACCCACTCTTTTTTATCCCTTTCCAGATGTGGCTTTGCTTCTCACCAACAAAATATTAATGGGCCATTTTGTCTGAGGGGCTCCAAGAAGCTGGAGCTTGCTTTCAAACAGTTCAAGGAAAGTTATTGCAACCAAAGTGGTGCCAATAGCCAGCCCTGTTTCATGCTAGGTTTTGGGTACTGACTGTTAACATCAGTAATTAATCAGACTAAGCACATGTCTTTGGAATTAATCATTCTCTTGTAATGAATGATAATGTTCAAAGTTGTTTGTTGAAAACTACTTGCAACTGCTGCTGAGAGCCCTTGCATATGGGGTAGGAGAGGCATGAGGTGATGGAGAAGGCATGGGACTTTTAGATTAGCACTGTGAGCTAGGATAGCTACAGTTCAGGTTGGGCACTGCTAACCTGCACAGAGCTGAATTAATGGTTTGTTGTTGTGTGCCCTCAAGATGTTTTCCCCCCAACTTATGGTGATAGGCAAACCTATCATAGGGTTTTCTTGGCAGGTTTCTTCAGAGGGGGTTTGCCATTGCCATCTTCTGAGGCTGAGAGAGTGTGACTTGCCCAAGGTCACCCAGTGAGTTTGCATGGCTGAGCCGGGATTTGAACCCTGGCCTCTAGCGTCCTAGTCCAACACTCAAACCACTACACCACAATGGCTCCATTGAATTAATGGTACTCCTGTCTTTTTCACAGTCTCTTTCACCAGCAATGCCATCTTCTTCAAGCAGCTATGTTTACAATAAGGACAAGTGACCTCCCGTGAACTACCATATAAGCTGTTCCTTCTTATTTACTATCACATTCCCCTATGCCTTTAGGGGTAGAAAAGATTTCCAGGCCAAAGAGTATACTTCTAGGCAGCCGTGGAATGTTCCCTCCTACTTCTTTTTGGAAATAGCACACTATTTGTGAGCTATCCTTCTGTCCGCTGTTTTCTAATAATGCGATAGGTGCTAAAAGAGCCTAGCTGGATCATGCTTAGAGTCCATCAAGTCCAGCATCTCATCTCCCTCTGTGAGCTGGCCCAGGCCCTGACAATCCTCTGGAGAGGCCCTTCTCTCAGTTGGTGGTGACACAAGAGAGGGCCTTTTCTGTGGCTGCCCCTGGACTGCGGACTAGGGAGATCAGAATGGCCCCTTCCTTGTTGTCCTTCCACCAGCAGGTTAAAACCTTTTTAGGCAGGCAGGCAAGATTTTAAAACAGAATGTTTTTAAAGGATCGGCTTGGGGTGTTGTGTCATTTTAAGTGCTTTAAACAATTTTATCTTTTTAACTGTATTTTTATTCTTTTAACCAATCTATTTTATATTGTAACAATTTAATTCTGTTTTAATGTATCACTTTTCTATGTTTTTAATTCTGTTGTTCTTTTAATGTTGTTAGCCGCTCTGGGTCTCAGTTCCGGGAAAAGAGCGGGATATAAATAAATATCATCATCATCATCATCTCCAAAAGTGGCAAGTCATGTTCTTAGAAGCTTGCAAACAAACCAGAAAGGTGGGGCCTTCCCTGTTTCTTGTTTCCATTTCAGAACCTGGAGGTTCCATTTAGTATTTGTGGTCAGTAGCCACTGGTAGATGTATTCTAGATGATTATGTATAATCCCCATTTACACTATTTCAGCCAGTGGCTTGTTTTATGGCAGGAAATTTGGAGAAACTTATTTTATCTCTTCTGAATGTTGTTGTTAGCTGCCCTCAAGTTGGTTCCGACTCATAGCGACCCTCTGGATTATCACATCTCCCGTGTGATAAACTCCCTAGTCGTCTTCTTATTTCTTGACTGCAGTCTCCATTCTGGTCAATGTTCGAATCTAGATATGGGAATTCTTTAACTATTTCAATTTCCTCAATTTGTGTATTTCTTCTATGGTCATTATTCCAATTCCTGTTCCAATTCCTGAATGTCTTCTGCTAATATTATGATGTTGTCCCCATATCTTAGATTGTTAATGTTGCTTCCTCTTATCTTAACTTTCTGTTTCTAATTCTGCTTTTCTTATGATGTTTTTAGCATATAAGTTAAACAAGTAGGGTGATAGGATGCAGCCTTGCCTGACCTCTTTGCCTATTGGGAACCACTCTGTTTCCTCTTTGCCTGTTGGGAACCACTCTGCTGTCAATTCATTGAGTGATTCTCTGATGTCGTGTGGCGTGAGAGGGGAAGAAAATGTCTCTCTGGCTGCTGTGTTCACCACAGTGCAGGGTCATTCAGTCTGTCTATTGGTTGTAGCCTGCTTCTAGCTTTCCCTGTCATGCTCTCAGCTGTCTCTCAGCCTTGTCTTCCTTTCCATTGCTGAGGCCTTGCCATAGGGGGGGCAAGGACTGAACCTCTTTTTCAGACCTACCCTGTGCTCAGCAGGCTTGGAAAGCTGTGGTGGTGAATACTGTAGGCACATAGGTTGGTGTAGCATGTGGGAAAGAAGTTGGTGTAGCATGTGGGAACTGTTGGGAATGTGAAGGGTTTATGGAGAAGTTGATGTAGCATGTGGGAAGTGCTCATACCGTCTCCTCTAAAGAATAAAAGAATGAAGTAGAACAGCCTAGTTCAAACATCAAAGCCTTGGGAGGTGGAGGGCCATGAAAGAAGATGACTTTGGTGGTGGGCATCATCAGTTAGGTTCATTCTCTATATTTCTCCAGGCTAGGTTCAGAAGATGGGGATGGTGCATGGTGTCCTGAGATTCCTGTGGAGCCAGATGACCTGACGGAGTTTCTGGAGATTGATTTACATGCTCTGCACTTTATCACCCTGGTAGGGACTCAAGGCCGCCATGCAGGAGGCCATGGCAACGAGTTTGCTCCAATGTACAAAATTAATTACAGCCGGGATGGCATCCGATGGATCTCTTGGCGAAACAGGCATGGAAAGCAGGTAAGGCAGTGAGACAGAGGAAGAGGAGGAGGAAATGGTGAGGATAATAGTATTGTTATTCATTGTTGTTGTCAGTAGCCTATGGCAAATGATCAGTTTATTGTGACATAATTAGATTGGCTTGGTTTCTGACTTCCTCCACAGCACACTGATGTTTTGGGGAGAGCTTCTTCTACCCATCTCAGGAACCTGGTTTCAGAAAAGGATAGAGTCCTTAAACAGAATTTTTAAAAATGCCATTTAAAAAATGGACATTGCCTGATGGGGGTGGGGAGGAGGGAGTACAATTGGGGATCCATCTGCAATGAAATTCTAATTTTGATACCCAAATTTACTTGTAAAAATGTTGCTGTATTTTTTGGAAATACAATATGGTTTTGAATTCAATTATAGTTTGTTCACAGTTCTTTTTTCAAAGAATAATTTTTATTCAATACCTGTACACATAATCAAACATGTCAATCCCTATAACAGGGACCGGCAACCTTTTTGAGACCTGGGCCGGTCTCCACTAGCC